TATTTCACTCAAAAGCTTCCTATTTGAAAATTTGGGCAACTTGATAAGCTATTGATTCTTAGTTCTGTCATTTATAAAGTGGAGCTATTGCTGGGCACAGTGATACACACCTGTAATCCTAGCAACTCAGGAGGATGAGGCAGAAGGATCATCAGTTCAAGACTAGCCTCAGTAACTTAAAGATGCCCTAAATAATTTAGTGAGACCCTGTCTAAAAATTTCAAATAAAGTAGAATTAAGAGGCCTGGGGGATATGGCTTAGTGGCTAAGTACCCCTAGGATCAATCCTCAATTGATCAATCCCCAATTTAATTAAGTAATTAAAGTCAATTAGAAAATTATATTTTAAAAAAATGGAGGTAGTATCTTTCCAACATGAAGGATTGGCCTGAAGATTAAAAATAATATATTATGTTAGCATTCAGAACAGTGATTACTAAATGTCCTTATTGTTAAAAACAACATAAAAATTAAGAGCAAATTAAACCAATGAATAAAACAATTATTCATCTTCTAGTTTGTTAATTAAATTATGACACAAGCAATATATTGAATTCAAAATTCATTGTGAAACTATTTAGGACTGTTAGATTAATTTTAATTATGCTGAATCATTTTTATTACAAGGACAACCATACCACCAGCATTTGCAATACAAATTCTGTGGCATTGTTGGATACATTGTAGGCTTTCCACTACCTTTGAAAGAATACAAAGACACCATCTCTTATGCTCATGAAGGTTTATCCTTAATAACAAGAAAATATCATGAGTTGTGACTTAAAAAATATTTATAATTTGCCTGGCACCTTACAAAACATTTATAAATTGTCTCATTTAAAGATTGACATGACTTCCAAAGTAGATTATTAAGATTCCTAAGGTGAAAAATCCTTCCCCAAATTCATTTTCTTAGATTTACCACTTACTATTTCCACTTACATAAAAATTGCTATCAAATGTTTCCTTTGGCACAAGTCACTGCTTCCATAGTTTCATAAGTCTCAGCAAAATAGAATTTTACAAGATATCAAAAATATGATTATTACCTGTTGTGATTATTAATTTGCACATTATAGGAATTTTAAATATTTTTGCTTGCTGGGTAATACAATTTTATTCACTTATACCTATACTAATTTCCTTTTTAGCCTAATATTATTGAGGATTATGAATGATCAGCTGATGTTTCTGGAACGGGCATTCATTGATCCTTTAGGGTTACCAGACAGGCCTTTCTATAGGTAAGAAAGAAAATATGACTCTTCACTTTAATATCACATTTTAAAAATGTTGTGCATTGTGGAAAAAAATATAAAAATTGATTTCTTGCAAGCTAATAGAATATTTCAAAATATATATAGTGTCAAATATACTATATTGGGTTTCCAAATAATGTAATATGATTCTTATATATCTTTCTTTTTAATATTTTTGACTGATTATAAAAAAATGTTTATTTTAGGAAATGTAAAAGATTCAGAAAGACACAAACAGAAAACAAAAATCTCTCCAATCAAGTTTATATTTTCTTACACGATTTTAGCGCTTGTTCTATTTTAAATGTTTTTATATATATGCATGATAATAATAAATTTAATAAACATGCATTAATATGTAATAAATATATATTTATTTACTCCCTAAATTTGTTATTAAAGGTTTTTCCACCTAAATTTTGTCAAATGTGCTTATTCTGATAAGTACCCACTGCCCCCAGGTTGCCCATACTGTGAGTACTGCAAAATGGGTTATGTTATGGAACAGCCAGAAGTGGTGCCACCTTTCCCGGTAGGGACTGTCAAAGGGTCAGGAGTTGGGAGAAAAGGCATCATCCAAACAGGGTGACTGTTTTGCCCATGGTAGCATGGTTGTGCCTCTTTAATACTTTACCTTGTTACTTTGCAACTTTCAGGGCTAGCACATGACCTGGCTTAGCCTCTTCAATGAAAGTCTTCTTTCTAGGTCTTGTAAACATCACAAATGTTTTTTAATGATTCTTCATGCATTCAGCTAAGCATTAAGTCACATTTAGAATATGACTTTTTAAAAAATAGAAAAAAGTTGGTTGGCTGGTTTTAAATGGGAATTTATTGATCACAGCAGTGTTATAAGGCCAGGGGTAGTGTGGTGTAGTAAAACTCAGTACTTATTTTTTATTCGCATTGATACAAATAATTTAATTACAGTCAGTTTCGTCCTCTGTGAAACTAACAGCAACTTTGTAGAATTCACTTTTAAGAATTAGAAAAATTGGCCAGGTGTGGTGGCTCACATCTAAAATCCCAGCAATTTGGAAGGCTGAGGCAGGAGAATCACACGTTCAAGGCCCAAGTGAGAAAGTTAGTGAGGCTCTAAGCAACTAAGTGAGGCTCTGTCTTAAAATAAAAACTAATAGTAATAAAGTAAAATGAAAAAGGGCTCGAATATGGGTTAGTGTAAAAGCCCTTTGGATTCAATCCTCAGTATTAAAAAAAAGAAAGAAAGAAAGAAAAGAAAGACTTACAAAAAATTGTAGTAAATTCTTGAAGAATACTAAGCACAATCTATACCAGGTAATCAGCAGTTGTTTATCCTTGTTGCTACTAGTGTTAGTCTGAACAACTTTGAGCTATTTATTTAAAGTAAAAGTAGTTAATACATATTTCATAGACTAGTCTTTGGAGACTAGTGAACTTATAAGTTTGCTTGCCAAAGGGCTTACTCAAAGTATAAATTTAGGAATATGAGATCCAAGATTTTATGGTGCTCCTGTTTCTTTCTTGTATGTTATTTGTGCAACTAGCAACAAAGTATTTTCTCTCGACAGGCATGTCATCTATGCTCCAAGCAGCCACAACAAGTATGCAGGGGAATCATTCCCAGGAATTTATGATGCTTTGTTTGATATTGAAAGCAAAGTGGACCCTTCCAAGGCCTGGGAAGAAGTGAAGAGACAGATTTCTATTGCAGCCTTCACTGTGCAGGCTGCGGCAGGGACTTTGAGAGAAGTAGCCTAAGAGAGTTCTCTAGAAACCTCAGGTTGAATTTGTATGGTATATCAATTGACAAATTAAGAAATAAATGTGGGAGTTTATTTATTTATTTATTTATTTATTTTGTGTGTGTTTATCTTGTTCTATGTTATTCTTTCTGGGAACAAATAAAGAAAAAATAAATAATGTTATTGTATAATTACACAATTCTGAAATTGAAAAGTTGGACTGAGTATTAAAAGTAAAGAGAAAAACTTAATATAATAACACTCTTATGCAACAGTATCAGGAAATCAAGTCAGGTTCAGCCGTTTCAGATCTAATCACATTACTGCACACATGGAATTCCATCAGCCTGTTATGGAGCACATGGGAACAATGCATGAAGCTGCTGTGCCCTAAAGCCCCACCCTGTTTGTTGGGAGATTCTGATCTAATCATGTTTCTAGTTAATGTAGTCACTCTGGACCACAAAGGATAATTACTTTTGTATTAATATTTTATTATATATATGAATATTGTATTATATATTATGTATAATATATATTACATATTAATATTGTATATATAATATATATAATCAAATGAACATTTCTAAATCCAACAAGAAATATTAAGTACCATTTTTAATGGTTTTGTAACCCACGTTTTGCTGACCTGTTGTGCCTTTTGTGCCACACATAATCACTTTTTAAATTTTTATGTTTATCTTTTCTCAGTCCTCTTTGTTTCCAACTCCCTCTCTCCCTCCCTTTCTCTCTCTCTCTCTCTCTCTCTCTTTTTCTTTAGTACTACTGGAGATTGAAACTAGGATTCAGGGGCACTCTACCTCACTGAGTTACATTCCTAGTTCTTTTTTATTCTTCATTTTTTGGACTAGGTCTCCCTAAATTGCCAAGACTTGTGTTTCTAAAAAACATCTGAAGTGAGTAGCAGCTCTGAAGCTCTGAATGCAGGATAAACTGAGCATATGTTTGCTCCTCATGCATCCACTGGTCCACTAAAGTTGAGAGAATGTCTTCCTCTTATCACTATGGACTTCATATTTCCTATGGAACAGACTTAAATATGCCTGGACAGGAGATGAAGCAAAGAAAGTCTGCATGACAGCTCATTAAGACTGATGGCAATGTCTGGACTGATGTGACTTACCCTGATAATTTTATGACATCATCAGTAGTGACAAGACTAGAGATGATGTCCATCTGATCTATCACACCAGGGATCACTTTGCTATTTATTGTAATAACCTGAGGAACTCCAATATAAGTTGTGGAAAGTGAGAAAGATCGTTGTAGGTAAAAAAAGAATCCCTTGTCTGGTTATTCACAATGCTCACACCTTTTGCACCCTGATCTCCTCATGGAAGAATATAGTGATCTGTATGGATCCTGGAAGTGCTAACCTGGGAAGTCCTGCTGTGATCATAGCAGAGAGACAACCTGGCTCTTTTGATATGGTTCATGTGAGTGATACCACCTGGCTTGTCAACATATTTGTTAATGACAAAAGGGACAAACTATGCATTTTGCTACCCCAAGAAAAGGAATCCATCTGTTCATTCATGAAGAAAGACTGGTAGCCAAGTAAACTAGTAGTGAAATGGTTTCTAGTGGCATGTTGGAGAATTCTCAATAATTAAAGATAATACAGTATGATAAATTGCAAAGATAAAAAATATAAGTATGTTGCTCAGAACAAGGCAAAACAATTCTGACTTCAAACCCAAAACAAAATTTTGACTTTGTGTGTGTGTGAGAGAGAGAGAGAGAGAGAGAGAAATAAACTGTGTAAAATTACCTAAAGTGCTAAAAAAAAACCATGGTTTTTAATGTAAGGTGGCCCCCATCACTAAAGTAAAAAATTATAGAAGGAAATCAGAAGGTTTCCCTATACAGCCATCCTGATGAACACATGCAACATGCTAGTGTAGCTTCATTCAAAGAATTTTATGCTAAT